GAACTCCTTCTCTTCCTAGTAAATTATTGCAGTGAGGTTTGGCTCTGGACTATCTCACTGATAAATACCTTTACCATGCATCTAAGGTTAAGGGCAAGAAAAGATGTGCTTTATGTCATACATTACCGAAATCTGAAGTAGGGGCAGGGAAGGTTGGTAGGGAGGTGCTTGAACGATAGGTACACAATGGTTTTGTAATACCTACATCCTGCATACACCATGGGAACAATGAAGTTATGTCACGCACAGTGATCTAGATACACAGTTTCCGGAAATGGTGGCCTGTAATAAGCATGAAGTATGTACTCATACAAGATATTTGTGAAATAATTTTGTCATAATTTATCTTGCTTCAGATAAACAAGTAAAAGTCATACTGAATATGTTTCGAATTACAATGTATCATTTGGCATCAAAGAATTAGAGCTACTGCCCGGACTCAAAAAAAAAAAAAAAAAAAATTCCTAGGGTCCATTTAACTTGGTCTTCCAAAGCAAGATCAAGTTATTAAGTTGGTAGTAATTTAACTCCTGATTCTCTGAGAGGTGTAAGCCAAGAAAATGTTTTGGAAAAACGGGTCCAGAAGTACCCCAAAAAGAGCAAGTCTTGACTCTTGGAGGAGGGCTGCTACTATTGATACAGGGTTGATTCCTTTTGGTGGGTGAAGCTCCAAGACGCAAGCTTACTGCTTTGATTTTTTTCCCCACCCTTTCTCTACTTGCTTTTCCCTGGATTAGAGTCCGAGGTGAGAAGTGACATCACAACCATCCATCATATCCATTCTGGGGGGACTGCTCTGGGATCAGGGGCAGTGGCTAGAAGGTGATAGACAGCTGGAGTCACTTCCTTCATATGTATATGAAGGAAGTCACCCTGCAACTTCATGCTTTGCTTTCAACTGAAAGCCTTTTGGGAACCAGCTTGTCATTGCAGGATTTAAATGTCCACAGAAGAGGGCCAACTATGCCAGTCTAAATCCACTTCAAACAGGTCAAAGATGGAGCTAAAGCCTCCTGAAATCTGCACGGTATTTGTCACCTGTTAGCATCCCATTAGCTACATATTTTGCCATAAAGGCAATATGGAGCCCTGAGTTAACTCCTGCTCCGGTTCCTATGTGTCATGGATGATATTGTTAAATGGTGGCGGTTAAACATCTATGAAATTGGGGATGTTAAGTCAAGTTTTCATTCTACTGAAATTTATTTTATTAACCCCGGTGTGCCAGTCAAATCAACGTCAATCCTAGGTTCATAGCGAGCTATCATCTTTGGTCCTTGCGGCCATTCCTTTGTTTTATTTATATTATTTATGCACTGTGAACTTATTTTCCCATGATAGGATTGCTGTCTTCCAATTTAGGTTTATATTGGCCTCAGTTTTCTTCTTTATTAAATAAAGAAGTTAGATTCTCTGATATGTAAGTTCTCTTTCAGCTCTGATGCTCTACGAATGAGATTATGGCCTGATATGTGTTTGGCTCAGTGCCTGGCATATTACCAGTCCTTAATAAATGGTAGTTATTATTATCATTTATTATTATCATTAAATCTGACAAATTTTCCACTGCCAACTCTGAATCTGATATACTGGAAAACTGATTAGAATCTCCATAAATATTGGCGACTCTTCTCCTGGGCCGTGAAATTCCTAGTGGCATTTTTTTCCTTCTCGGTCAGCTCCAAACTGTCCATTACCAATTTATTATTGATTCACAGAATTTCAGGTTAGGGACTCTTAAAGGTCAATTTCCAGCAAAGGATGTAGCAGAGGAAGAAATGAGGTGTCTCATCAGGCAAACTCTTCCCAGAATAATTCTCGTTTCTAGCATTTCAAGATGAATTCTTATAGGGTTCTCGTTCACCTCTCCTAAAAAACTGCCTGGATTTCTGTTCATTGCCTTTCACTGAAATTTTCCTTTAAAGCTGTGAGGGACCTTGGCAGGGAGGCCAAACACTAGTGGGGCCTCATTATCAAGTAATATGTTGCTAAGTATAAGGCAGAGTAAAACTTAAAACTGCCTGATTTCCTGCCATATGGCACGTTCAGGAGGAAGAGTCGAGGGTCAGACTTGCAGAGCTACTCCTTGCATACAAAAAGGCAGCATTTGTGCCAATCTTGGATTTAGCTTCTTTCCCAACGTTAGGGATGGTTTTGCACTAACCACTTCTATTCTATTAGTTCCTTGTTCCTTTGGCTACTGAGGCATCGTGAGCAGAGCTGACTGTGAGAACCAGCAGAGCTTAACGTCCTGAAAGAAGATGTGTTTTTTTTGCTGTAGCTCCTGATCCTTATCTGGAAGCTTCATTGCAGCCAACTGGCTCTAATCAAGGAGGCCAATGAGTTCGTGAAGGCAGATCCCAAAGCCTTCGCATTAATCGCAGAGGGGCTTCTTTGGTCTCACTAAAGTTTAAGAATCACCCTCTTCTTAAGTGAACTTAGTGAAGGGAGCTACAAAAGTGATGGACAAGAAGATGAATGAATCTACATTCACGTGTTTGAGTTGACAGATGTATGGGGTCCCAGATCCTGTTTATTTCTTGAACAGAGCTAGGATTTTCCCTTCTAAATGCATACACGTCCAAACGAAAGAATATACCCTTTGAGCAAGCTAAAATGCTGGTCCAGGGGTTGGTTTACAAAGCAGAAAAGTGGTTTGCCTGTTTCCTACCTCATTTTCCAATTCTCTCTCATGTTCAATGCAGTGAATGCTGTGTGCGCGTGCCAGGCAGGGCATGCTCACGGAAGGCAAGAGTGTTCATTGGAAAGAAAAAGGCAAAGACACCATGGAGAAAAAAAATACCAACGAGTAGTAGTTTTGCTACTCTTAGGAAAAACGTCCAGGCCTCAGGAGACCAGGTGCAGGGATTCCCTCTTCATTTCATTCAAAAGTTGAAGCCCAGAGGCAACACAGCTTTCAAAGAGAAGTATTTTGTGCTGTCTTTGTGGTCCTAAACAATAATGACCCCAGAGTCCTAGAGAAAACCACAGGCCATGCTTCAGGCTTGACTCATAGAGTACCTTGTGTGGTCCTCACAGGGGCCACCCTCCTGCGGATCATTCCCAGACAGGCTCTCCTTACCCTCTGACAGCTAATGCCCCCAGTTCTGAAGGGATGACTGATTGATGTACATTGAGATTTGGATTTTGATTGAGCTCTTCCCGTCCCATCTGAAACCCAGCGGAAGAATCATTCAATGTCCTGTGGATGGATGCCGGTGGCCTGGGTGGCAATGAGTAGTGATCTAATAGATTGTAAACTTTCTGGACTCTGGACAGGGAGCCGAGGAAGTGGTTGTGCAGAGGGACTGGCCGGTAGCAAGACTGTACTGAAACTGGAAAGCCCAGGTATAGTGCTTATGCTTTTCCGCCTGTAAGTAACAATGACAACAATAGTAAATAAACCGCATCTAGAGTTATTCAGAGCCTGAATTCCACTAATCCTTTGTGCTGCATTTCCTCTCCCTCCTCCTCTTTCTCCAGTGTCTAGCACAATGCCTGGCAAGTTCTAGGGGCTCAAGAGATGTGCCAAATCAGTCAAATAAACAGCATAAACTATATGTCCTTCTGCAAACGATTGAGCTTTTCTAACCTTCCACCTCTTCATCAGTTAAGGAGGGGGATAATGCTATTTGCTGAGTCTGGTTTCAAGATCAGATAACATGGCATACCTTATGCAATGTGTAAAATGTCATAAAGCGGTAACTTCATGAGTTATGAATTTCACTTTTTGAATTTTATGAACTTTAAATTTATGAATTTTGAGTTTGCAGATATGGTTCAGCTGAGGGAAGAAGGGAGAAAAGTGAAGCCCTAGGCAGATAAAAGAATCATTACCCAAAGCTAAAGATGTGATAGGTTAATTAATCTCAGATACATTTAACCAATCAATGCTTAAGAAGAAAGATCAGAGGGGCTGGGCAAAGGAGGGAAAAAAGGGGCCGGTGGGGGTTAGAGGGATGGTAAATACTTCAGAGGCCAATGGAGTTATTTACATAAAGGATACATTTTCTTTTCGGAAGAAATCAACCTATGCCACCAAAAGAGGGAGGGAGGTTGTTCAGCAGAAACGGGGTTAATCCAAGCTCACTCCTGCCCACTGCAGTCACAGCGCTGGAGACGGTAATGAAGCCGGCGCAGGCCCGTATTTCATCTGAACTTCCTCTGTGGTCCTTTTTATATTGAAGTCTCTCACTGTTACAGGGCCGCACTTGGACAAGTTGGAAAACTTTTCCCTTGGTGGAGAAAAAGCCGCCCTCATCAGACTCAGTGGAACGAATGAATGAAGTTATTCCCTTGGCCCAACGTCTCCATCCCCTTTCATACCAAATATTCATAGAAACATCTTTGCTCAATTCTGCGACTGGAATTTTACTCTCCCGTGGCGTTGCCTCGTATCAGATGCACTGATTTCGAAAGTCAGCAGGCAACAGACTTACTTGGCTTTGGAGCCACCGTGGTTGGCTTTTAAGAGTCGATGCGCCCTACGGTCCTGTGTGGTAGCTTCTCCCGGGAGCAGAGTGTGTAAAATAAACAGTTGCTGAAAAGCATGAAGAATTAACGAAATGAAAATCTCGGGTTATTTGTTCGGCAGTTGACACGCAAGTGACCTTCCTAAATACTTCGTTGTTTAAGGAGGTTCAGAGCTAGGATGAATGAATCTTCGGGGCGCTTGACTCTCACCAACGTGTAGATCTCCTTAGTCTTTCGGGAAGGGGGCGGCAAGTTGATTCGAATCCAAGGAGGAAAGGAAGAGAAGGGGGCAGAGCCGGACACCGGGAGCTCTGCTCCCAGCCCTGTGGAAAGACTCGCTCTTGCCGCCCGGGACCCTTGGAGGTTACAGCCCGGAGAACCCGGCGGCGCTAGGACCTGATTGGTGCCTGGCTGAGGCCGCGCTCCGGCGGGCGGAGGAGGGAGAGGAGGAGGGGGCTGTAGGAGAGGAGGGGTGTTAGGGGGGCGGGGGGAGTCATTTATGCAGAGCAGGCGCTGCAGCCCTTGCCACTCACACTCCCCGCGCGCTGCTCGGAGCCGGAGGGAGCGCAGGGAGCAAGCTAGCGAGCGCTCGGAGCCCAGGCCAGCAGAGGGGGCGCCCGGCCGCTGTCTGCACCGCCGCCTCCGCCGCGCTCCGGGGCCCGGGGAGGAGCGAGGGCGAGTCGGAGAGTCGGGAGCCGAGCCGGCGAGACCCAACTGCAGGAGGGCGCCCGCCCCACTCCGCCGCCTCCTGCGCCCGAGCCGGGGAGCCCCCGCCGATCGCCCTGCGGGCCGGAGGGCAGGGAGCACAGGTCCCCGCAGCCCCAGGGATGGTCTAGGACCCGGCGCGAGGCTCGCCATTTGCTCCCAGCCGGGGCTTGCCGCCTGCTGCGGATCGCCCAGGGCTGTGCGCCGCGGCGGCCGGGGCGCTGCGCGCCGGGGCGGCCCAGGCCCGGAGAAGTTAGTTGTGCGCGCCGCTCGTGCGCGGAGTCAGCGAGCGAGCGAGAGAGGCAGAGAGGCGCCGGGGCCATGGGCTGGGGGAGCCGCTGCTGCTGCCCGGGACGCCTGGACCTGCTCTGCGTGCTGGCGCTGCTCGGGGGCTGCCTGCTCCCCGTGTGCCGGACGCGAGTCTACACCAACCACTGGGCGGTCAAAATCGCCGGCGGCTTCCCAGAGGCCAACCGCATCGCCAGCAAGTACGGATTCATCAACATAGGACAGGTAACGACAGGCTGGCCCAGTCCTTGGCCCTGAAGCTGCCGGGGCAGGGGGAGGCCCCCGCGACCTCGCGCTTCTTGCCCCCTCCTTGTCAACCCCCTCTCCCCTCTTCCAGATGTGCTCTTGCAGCTGTTGCCCTAACTCTTGAGCGATTTTTTTTCTCTCTTTCATACACACACGCACACAACTCCCCAAAGTTACCGGGGTTGGTTTTGTTTACTCGTGTTGTGTTTTTGTTTTTGTTTTTGTTTTTTTTGCAAGCCACGAGGGACAGGTAGGGTCTCTGGAAAAATCCGGAGTATGCATACCCCCGTGGTGGTTTCAGACCCGACCGGATCTTTTGACCTGGAAAGTCGGGGAGCACTGGTAGCCTGAGCTCTTTTGGGGTGTAGGGGAGGGTGAGGGCGCTCCTTGCGGTTTCTGAGAACCAGGGTAAGGAGAAGGCGAGGAAGGGAAAGCCTTTCCTGGTCGGACCTGAATTTAGTCCAGAAAGTAGTTTGCTCCTCTTGGGGGAGAGAACCACTGGGCGCTGGAGGCGCAGGAGGCGCGGGGACTGGAGCTGGGCGAGAAGAGGGAGGCGGAGGGACGGGAAGAGAGGGCCGGACCCGGAGTGAGCGCAGATCTGGGGAGAGACCTCCCCGCTGCCTCGTCTCTCTCCTGGGATCCGCGTCGGGGGCTCTCGGAGCGGGTAGAAAAAGGAGGTGGGGAACTTCCGAGCCCCGCTGACTGGGTTCTGCTCTGGGAGAACTGCAAGCCTCCCCGCGGATAGGGATGTGCGGGGCCCAGAGGCGGCGCAGTGGGGAGAGAGTTGGACCGGCAGCGGGGCACGGGGTTTTTGCGGGGTGCCGCTCCTGGGCTTTCGGCAGAACTGCCCGGCTGGGGAACAATGAATTAAATGGTGCTATGGGGATGATTGGAAGCGCAACAGATTTGGAGGTGCTTCTGAGCTAAACGGTGTTGGTTTCCTCGCTCTCCTTCCTGCAAGAAATGGGAGTGGAGAGGGCTGCGTACATGGGCCCCAGAAAGTGACCCGATCATTCCCCCCCCCCCGCCCTCCCGCGCAATCCCTTACTCACACCCCTTTCACTCACTTCTTAAGGCTTGGCTGGAGGAGGGGGCTCTGGCCAGACCCTGGCCTGACTCTGCCGGGGGTGGGGGAGGGGGTGGGGGGGGTGGGAGGCGATGGTGATGGGGCACCTTCGCAGCCGACCAGCTTTGGGGACTGCTCCGGATGCAGGTACCCTGCGTGCTCTGCAGGGGTGAAGGGAGAGGAAGGTGCTCCTGGTGCAGCGGGGCCAAGAGAGCACAGACGCTTTCTGATGCCATCGCGCTCCAGGTCCAGGAAGGAGAGCCCCGGAGCGCTGGGACCCTCAGCTGCCTGGGGGCTGAGGCACTGGAGGGAGATAGGGAGCGCTGGGGGTTCAAAGGAGCTGGAGTCTGAGGTTTGGGGCTTTGCGGGTCCAGAGGGAGGACGTGTCCCCGAGAAGCCAGTCCAGTGGAGGGCTGAAACCAGGGCAAGGGGCAAGGTCTTTATCCACCCCCGCCACGCCCCCTACACACAGGGGCGCGCGCGCGCGCGCACGCACACACACACACACACACACACACACACAGAGCAAGGTCTGCATCTAACATACACACCCAGAAGAAGGTAAGGGAAGCCAGCCAGATTTTGTTGCCTGAATGCTTGTCATCTTCAGGAGAGTCCCATTCTGACAGTTTGTTAGGATTCTACTAGCTTCTTATTTCGTCAGAAGAAAACAGTCTCTTCCTCCTCTTACATGAGCTTAAAGTTGGGTGCCGGTGTGACCCTGAAACGTAACTGGGAACCCTAACAATGCATGTTAATAATCTTTCTAGAGATGCATCTCTCAGGTTCAGCTAACAGGGAGCATCTCCCGTAGAGGAGACCTAATTGGAAAATAAGTTCTTGATCATACATGGTTTTTTGTTTGTTTGTTTTTGTAACCTGCAAAATGACCATTTGGGGTGGCTATTCCCCCACATTCAGCAAATTGGAAACCCAACACCCTGGAGAAGTTGACCTGCACAGGATCACCCAGCTAGATGGTGGCAAAACCGTGGTTCAAACCTAGGGCTCTCTGGCCCCGGCCTCCTCCTGCATGAATCCTGCCTTTTAGGGTATCCCCCCATCCCAAAGAAGGAAGGAGGCACAAAGGAACAGCCCCAATTCCCTGAATTCTGATTTAGTGGCTCATAGACTAGAAGCAAACATTCAGTATTAATTCACAGATTCTTAGTTCAAACAGACCTGGACTTCTTGACTCTAAGAAGCTTCATGACTTGCAAGGGCAGAAATACCTGTTTCTTAACGAACTCATTAACTAGAACTTAGATATTGCAGAACCTGGCAGAGTGAGGGAGGAGATTCTGTCCCTGAGCCCACTTTGAACAAGCGGACACTGCAGGGTCCTGTGACTTCACCTGACTCTGTTTACAGGGGGCCTTCTAATGATGAGCCGTGGCTTTTCATCAAAAAAGTAACGCGAAGAAACTTTCCGTGCAGATGACCCCAAACACTATTTATTGTGGTTTTTACAATGCCAGTGAAGAAATTTAGTGCTTTCAAAGGTTACAGAGGACCCCTTGAACTGATGCCATAACCAGTGTAAAAAAGTCAATGAGTCTTACAGTGTGAGGTGTTTGCTCTGTGGATCAAAGGGGAGTAACCCTATGCTAAGTCTTTGGGATGGTAAATTGAGTTCACACATGTTCTGTGGATGTACTGTAAGGGCCAAACGTATATCTTATTCTTCCTTTACTGCTCTGACCTTTAACACTTAAGGCATCGTCTTGTTCTTTCTTTCCATCAGTAAACCAGTCAAGGTTCCATTGACTAATTTGCGAACGTCTCTGGAATGTTCTCCTGGTTTTACCCGTTTGAGCTTGGGGTCCCACCTCATGGGTCACAAATTGGAACTGAGATCTCTTATTGCGACCGACGTCATTTATTATCTTGGTGGTGGGTCTGACATCTTGAGTGTAATCTTTTCAGGGGGATGAGGCAGTGAATTTTTCACTACCATAAAGGTACAGCTCCGACTACTCAGAATTTCTGTGTGATGCTTTCTGTAGCATCTTAGCACTTAGAACCACCAGAGGTAAAATGTCTGGCCTCGAGATTTCTACAGAAAAAGAATAGGTGTGCCTCTCATGTTCATGAAAAAATAAGATATGCAGTGTTACACGAGAGCAAGAGAGCAAACAGGCAAGAAGGACATGCTCGACTTCCTGGAAGGGAAGAAGAATGAGGCTTATCTTGCTGTTGGTTACAGAGATAGCATTATGTTTTGGTAGGTTTTCCGCACAATGTTAGTATTTGTGAATGGCTATGCCTTGAAAATCTGAAATGATGCCATAATCACTAGTAGTAGTTGTCATGTTGGTGTGTATCACGTCTTGCTTGGTACGAGTGCCCGCTCTAGAATTCCCTGTCTTTCTTCCCCTGCAACCCCTGACTACCAACCCCCCTAGGCTCTGGTATGCCCTGCCTGTTGGCCTCACGCAGATGGAAGGGAGGCCTGGGTCCCCCCTCCCAGTCGGGTGCTCTGACTCTTTGAACTAACAGAGTAGTGGTCAGAGGGTAGCAATGACAGAAAGGAATGAAGACCTGACATCATGTTAATTGTGAACCTTTGTTTGGACTAACTCTACAAACCAGGGGGCTTAATTTCTGGTTATTTGAATTCAGGGAGAAGGTCCCTTGTGAAGGTTGTTTGCAATGTGCAAGAGCTGTATTTATCCTTCTGTGAATTGCATACAATCCTGGATCCCAGGCTGAGATTACCAGTAGCAAAAAGCTCTCCTCGAACCATGTAACTTATCTTGAGCAAGATTCTGGAAGGATAAAGCCAGATGCAAGCAGTATTGGGGAAGTATTTGACCTGGAGTTCCCACTGGAAGCAGAGACTTGGAAACTCCAGGGATGCCCCTTGCAAGGTCTTTGAAAGCAGGAAAGTCAGTGAACTTAATGGAGCCCCTATTCCTCCATCTGTAAAATGATAAATCTCTAGATAATAGGCTGAGTTGATTCTGCATTGCTCAGCACATAGTTAGGCTTTCAGCGAAAGGTTTGTTGAATCTGAATCTGAAATAAGTGAGACTCAAACTTATTTAGATAGGGAGAAAGGAAGACATTGTTTTAAATGGGAGATGCAAAATGTGAAGATCAGGAAAATAAATTTTCAATGGCTGAGTAAAAAGAGCTAACTCAGAGGTTTGTAGACAGGGAAAATGGTTTTCTATTTCAACTAACAATATAAAATACTTTAAAAATAGTTTCTGTTGGACTCTAAACAATTCTGGCTGATTTCCCTTGGTGGTGCCTTCCTCTCTGGTTGATCCTTATTGTAGCCCATTAAATATTATAGGATAAGCTCATCAGAGATGGAAGACAGGGAAGAAAAATATCTGAAGACTGATTATTTTAGAAAGCATCTTACCATCTTACGTGAGGTCATATTTGAATTTACATTTTAATTCTGAATGTAGTATGTATGAGGAAAGTTAGAAGCAGCATTTCCCAGAGATCTTTAGCAGGAAGAACTTTGTTCAGAGATCTGCCGAAGGCCTCCCACTCTGCTGATTAATTCTGACCTGCGGGTAACTTGAGATGATTGAAATGTTGATAAACAGTGGCCAGTGGGTTCTGGGCATGGATGGATGGCATTGCAAGTAGGGACGTGGCTAGCCAGCCGGGCAGAATGGGAGTGGACTGTGCTCCCCTAGTTGAATTTTTTGGCACATTGTAAATAGCAAAAGAAATTGACGTGGGAGTCCATCTGGCTTTGCGAAGGACAGCTCTTCACGCCCAAGAACCTCAGCCCTGACCTCCGTTAGCAGCTCTCACATACTTCGTTCTCATGAGCAGGAGAACCTTTACTGGAAAAAAAAAAAAGAAAAGCAACTCAGAGAGTTTGGCCTGATGATGGTGGATCTGTTGCATTAACCTCATAGGCCAGGAATGGCTTGCATGTGGCCAT